AAAACACAAAAATCCCTCACTGATACTGTTTTTGACTCCTCAGACACCGTATGAAGCAAACTCAACGTTGTAGAATAGTTTGAAGAGCCCAACACAAACTGGAACTTCAACCTTCTGTGACAGGAATCTTTAGATATGATCAGTGAAAAACGTTAAACTCTTCATACTGCACTTTGCAGTTTCATAGGTTTCAACTGTATATGATGAAGAATCAACCAGCCCTATTGATCTAAAACAGCTCACTGAGGAACCATTAAGTATTACTTAATATATTATTTTGAACTGTTTAAAAAGACTGCTTTGGATCTGATCAAATCCCTAACCTGGGACACGTAAAGACAGATATGTTGATGTGACTATGCCAGGCAGCTTTACACTTGTTATATTTAGAGTAAGTGTTTGTCTGTTGGTCCAGTGAAGAATGTTGATGATCAGGTTCTGAGTTTGTTGATTAAGAACTCGGCTGTCATATAACTTCCAGTAAGTAGCACCCAGTGGCTGTACTTGACAGTAAAAACAAAAGAAAGCAACTGAGGAGAGCATTCACAAAGGTTTCAGCTCATTTGGGATAGCTATCGAAGCAAAACCAAAACTATTTGACGCTCATGTATGTAGAGTTGAGAAATTCAACTGGCACAGGACACAGAAATATCTTTTGGGCTCTTTTTTACTCTGAGCATTTTGTGTTCACGGGTTGAAATAAAGTAAAAGCTTTAAAATCAAAAAGTTGCAAGAAGGTGTCTGCTGTGTACAGAGTTCTGGTAGATTAACAGCAGAGGACTCTCCCTCTATGCACTGTAACGCTCACAGACATAAAGTATAGTCTGTTTGAAAGTCACCATTGGTTGTTCACTTTATTCATCACAAACCCACATATGCAACAATAACCCTTGTCCACAGTACAAAAATACACCTAATGTAAGGTAAAACACATTTACATTTCGTAGCACTCTTATATTCACACATCTCATAGAAAATATTACATTGAATGTATAAAGCTTTACAACACAGTAAGAGTTCAAGAGCACAAATAGATACCATACAGCAGCTACTGTACAACAGGTTTTCAAGAAGACTGCAAACTGTCAGGTGACTTTATAAAAGGTTTCTCACAGGACCATGCTTCGGATTCTTTCTACACCTTTCAACATCCAACAAATACTATCTCATTAGCAGACAATATCTCACAATATGGTTGTACACGTCACTTGACACATGTTCATCACTTGATAGGTTGCGCAAAAGTCCACATTTTACAGGTTTATATCTCTTTAGACAACAGCAGAAAAATAAGTAGTGTCAGATATTAACAAGATGGCTCTCTGATTTCTCGTCTCTCTCTCTTTCTACGCTGTTACCCAATATCCTTTGTGCTCCCCAAAGGGACAGTGCCATCTTGTGGCCCACCCAGCAGCATATACTGTATGTAATTCCACAATTGAGTGTAAACGTGCGTCAAAGTTACTTTTTTTTTAATTGTTGTTGTCATGGTGCTTAAAGTTTTTAAGAAAGAAAAACAATACTTAAATCTGTACATGTTATGTGTAGCTAATGGGGTCATTAGCCTAGCTACAGATCAAGGTTTAGGATGGGTTAAAATCTGGGGTTGTCGTGAACAAAACCACATGGTCTCTTGAACACTACTGGATGTAATTGTATCTGAGGTTTAACTTAAACTTACAGCAGTTGTGTTTTAATGGAAGATCTGTAATACTCTGATCTTTACAGCTGAACCTGTTTATCTGTTTGTTTTATGCAGTTATGGCACATGAGATGTTTCTATTTCTCTCCCTCAGAAACCATTCAATATTGAAAATGCAAAAAACGCGTTAGGAAGTACATATATATTATAAATATGTAAAACATGCATATTATACGCAATTGAATAAACATTATGTAAAGCAAAACAGTGTTCGTAAATGATATAAAGACTAAACACACAACATGTACAATGCACCTGCTTTAGAACTGATTAATTTTTAACGTACAAGCACAACAACCCCTGCCTCCACACCACTAGCATTTTTATAATTGTTATTTTTCACACACCGTAGTTTTGACGGTATAAACTTTAACCTAAATGTTATGTGCTCCACTTTTACACAAAGATTACACAAAATATCTCTAGTAAAAACTGTATCTGTAGTCATGTCTCCGCTAAAATATTTTGAGAGTTGCTTTAGTCTTTGGGTGTATTTTCAGCAGCACAGACGCTACTAAATGGTCATAGACATGTGATATATGATATAAATATTGTAGGAATGCTACTACAAACAACTGTGTGTCTATGATCCTTTTAACTGTTCCGCGACTCCATGTTTGTACTTCTGTCTTTGATAATAAAGGTGACACTACTCTGTATAGTAGCATATATAAGCTATATTATAAAATAATGTATATATAGTATATAGTTGAGAGAATATTATGGATCCAAGAGGAAACTGATCATCATACACTCCTTTACTGAATGCATGGAGTAGGTCTAATGTCTGATTTTTTATTAACAATAAATAATCTCTTCCTCTTATCCATATTGAAGGTAGCTTCTAACAACTCATGTTCTGTATAAAATTAATTACATTTTCAACAAAAACTTTTATTATTATCATAAAATAAATGTAGCAGCTAAAACCTCTTCTGAAAGCCCCCCTTTTTTATCCTGCCATCTATTTCACCTCTCCATACCCTAACAGAAAGTTTGCAGGGGCAGAGGGGTTTACTTAAATATGTTAGTCTAGTCTGCCTGACTCCTTGATGTTTTATCTGAAGACATTTGTGCAAGTTAGAATCTATGGCCCCAACCATGGCTCTGAAATATCAGTAGTCCAACTGTGCTGTGTATTGATAAATCAATGGCACTGTTTGTGTTGTTGAAGTAACGAATATTTGTAATTGGGCCCACCCAACTGAATAACTCCTCCTCCTGCACCTA